GGGGTGCGGCATGGCGGAGAGCGGCGCCTGGCTGCTGGTGCTGAGCTTCGTCTTCTTCTGCAACGTGCTCAAGATCATCCTGCCCTCCTGCTCCTCCTTCGTAAGTGGCCTCACTGCGCCCGCCCCGCCTCTCTGCCGGCGGCCATTACTTCACGGCCGGGGGCTTCCCCCTCGCCTGCCCGCCTCCCATCTACCCCCCCCCTCCCCCGCCCCATCACCCGGGGCTGCGGGCGGGATCTCGCCTTTACCCGCCCGGGCCCCTCCGCCGGGACAAAGTGGGGGTGGCTGAGGAGGGGTAGAGCGTCACGGAGGTGTCATGGCGTCGCCCCCGCCTGATGGCTGAGGGGGTGAGGGGAGGGGGCGCGGCGGGGCCCGGCCCGGCCCTGCGTCCCCCTCTTGGGGAAAGACGAGAGGGCTGATACTGGGAAGAGCTGGGAGGCGGTGAAGCCGCAGGCCGTGGCACGGTGACGCTGTGGCTCCGGCGGTCCCGGTTCGGCGGGGTCCGCGAGGGAAAGCGGGGGGGGATGAGTTACCGGCGTCCCAAAGGCTGTCCCTGGGGCCGCGGCCCTCAGGGCGATGGGGGGATGCAAAGGGTGGTTCTGCTCAGCCATCCCCGCTTTCGGCAGAGGGACATCTTCCCTGGGAAGGGAGATGGGCAGATGCAGACATACAGGAGTTCGACAACGTAGGAGGAAACCCTCAGTAGCCTGGTAGACTAGCAGTCAGTAGACTGGTCAGGAGACCCCCTGGCCTGATCTTAAGTGTTTCTCTGAAGGTGTGGATAACGGACTCACGGACGGATAAACTCTGTGGCTGCCTAATAAACTTCTGTGTGAGCAAGCATGCTAAAAGACCTAACGCTCTGTGCTTTCACCTAAATAACTTCACTCGCACGCAGATCAGAGCACACCATTTGGTAATGGGTAAAAATCCTCTGAAAGCTAAACTGCTTGTAGCGATTTGGGAAGCCAAACTCCGTGTTACTACTATAGGTGACTAATGAAAACCTCCCCTCAACTTTCTGCTGCGGTTCATGACGAAGTAGTGAGATGTTTTCATTGACTGCAGCACTGAGAACTTTATCTGTGAGGAAAATATTACACGTCTTGAGGAAGCTATAGAGATTTGCTAAGGAACAGAGAGAAAAAGATTTTATGTTCTTTGTATCTTCATTTCTAAGGTAAAAGGAGTTCATGAACCAACAAGCAGGTGGTGCCTCATGAAAAGAAAGTGGAAAGTAAAAGAAGAGGAGAAAATGTTTGCTAACGCAACGTGTGATTACCCAGTTACATTTCTGTCAGTAAGAAATAATTCTAGCCAAGAAACCAGTAAGATGTTATAAGAAAACTGCATTTAAACGCACAGATAATATGTATGATGCAAATTTGTGTTTCTGCTTTTGAGGTAGTGGTAAGATACTGCACTGGATGGATCACAGCTCTTAGCCAGTACAGCAATTCGTGTGTTTCTACCAGCCTGGACTAGGCAATCTGTAATCTAGAGGAGGTATTCCTGATTGGTGAGATGTGCATTATTGGTGAGGCCTAAAACTGGGCTTCAGTGAATAAATTTTCCACATTGATTAATTTAGACAGTTGCTGAGGCTGCTGGAGCTGGGATCGAAGACTGAGTAAGTGGCATTGCTGGAGCTGGAAAGAGAAGTGATGGAAAAGGAGTGCTTCCCTGGTCCTTCCTCTCCTGCACGTATCAGGTGCTTGTCATCCCAGCAGTGGGTGATGAGAATTGCAAGGAGGGAGGACAGCAGTTTGGCTCAGGATGCAGCAGCAGGCAGGGCCTGGGAGGTTTGAAAGGTCTCAGAAAGGTCATTGAGAGTGGGGAGATGAGGAGATGAAGGCAGAAATACAGAAGTAAAAAGCGGTTAAGAAAAGTTGAAAATCACTGCTCTATGGGATCAATTTTCTTCAAGCCTTTTTGATTTGCTTCTCAGTCAGAACAAGAAAGTAAAAATTACTTGGCTTTTAGACCACGTTGCAGATGTTAAGCCAAGGTTTCCCTGTGACTTGGTAAAAGGGCCTTTTTTTATGGGAGGCTTTTGAGTATGTAAACAGATCATACTTTATACATACTAAAGAAAATCAGTGGAATCCTGGATAAATAACTGATACTATTTTTTTTACTTCTTAGATATCCAGAATGTTACAAAAGGATGCAGAGCAGGAGTCCCAAATGAGAGCTGAAATTCAGAACATGAAGCAAGAACTCTCAACCATTAGTATGATGGATGAGTTTGCTAGATATGCCCGTCTGGAAAGAAAGATTAACAAAATGACAGACAAGCTTAAAACTCATGGTAGAGTGCAATGTTTACTCCCTTTTCTAGTTTCTGAAAAACATTTTTCTGAGAATATTTTCGATTTTAAGTATATTTTTCCTTCAGCTTTTTTCTTCCCCTTCTTATCTGTTTCCAGTGTTATCTTCTTTATTTTCTCTTTTTTTTCCTTTACATTTTTTGTAGAGTTTGCCTTTGTCTTTTAATTGTGCATCATTCTGCATACGCTGATAAGGGGCTTCACTGGGTAATTATTTATTCTCTCAGTGATGCTCAAAGGAAGTCCTTTGCCATTAACAAAAGAAGTAACACAGTAAGGTTGCGTATTGTTACTGCAAAAAGGATGCTTTGCCTGGTTGGAGCTGTTTGGTTGGTGTACTACACAATGCTTGAGAGAAAGTGTTGGTCTCTAGGGTAACCAGCTGAGACCTTTCCTGTCCTTTTGCAATCCTGTTTGACCTTATGCAGCAGCTTTTGCGATAAAGCTGCAGTAGTTTGTCTCAATTAGGATTTTATAATAGTATTTTTTTCTTTCTTTGCCCAAGCTCACTAGCTGATTGTAACAGGGCAGGAGAACACTTGCTTTGTCTGCCTCCTCTGCAGAACGGATGGGTGTTTATAGGCTCCTTGCTTGGAGAAAGGACAATATTTACAAGTGGCAGTATTGTATTGCTTTCAGTAGTATTGTTATTAACAAATAAGTTCAGTTAAACTAGATTTGAATCATTCACTTAGCAACCAGCAACATTGTTTTAGAGAACTTTAGGCCACCATTAAGTTTGAAGATGTGCTGTCTTCTCTGGGCTTCTTTATATTGCTCTAAGGTACAGTAGCAGCAGAAAAATAGGCAGGAGGAGTTTTAGTAGTGAATCTGACCAAGATTTATTCAGTAAAGGAATAGTCTTTAACAGTGTTCCTGAGTGAAACGGGGCATAAAGTGCATCTGTTAAAGCCCCTTTTAGGAAAAGGAAAAATTGGCTTTATGCTTCATCTGAAGCAGGTTCTTAAATTTGTAACCACAGTGAACGTTTTCATTTGGGAATAGTGTTCTTGATTACATGTGTCAATTCTCTGTCTAGGATATCAGTGTTTTGCGACTTTCCATCGTAGTGTTAATAAGAAACTGTGGTGTGATACAGCCCTAGCACTTTGAATATAGCTGTAAGTCATCCGAAATGAGGCTTTTAAACAGTGTAATGTCCTGATTTGAAGAGTGAAATGTTAATAATAACTTGTTTTATGTAAGTATAATTCACTATTATAAATAATGCAGAGTCATATTTTTTTCTTTTAACAGTGAAAGCACGAACTTCCCAACTAGCCAAAATAAAATGGGTTATAAATATTGTATTCTATATCTTACAAGTAAGTAAATATTTTATTATGGATACAAATTGCTAAGCCAAATCCTCAGTAGTGTTAGAATTCTCTCCTGCATCTGTTGGCTGATGATTACTCTCACAGGTGTTTGACATTTCAGTGACACAGTGCATGCCAAACTGAATGAGTTTCTTGAAAGGGAGAGACGTTGCTGATGAGGTCTGGTAGTTGTGGATGGAAGGAGTTTTCAGGGTCACTTTAGCTCTGGGTTTCTGTTTTTAAGATAACAGTTTGTCTTAGCACTGTCATTGCTGTTGGGTTTTTTTTCATTTACATATGACACCGGGCCCAGGAAAGTTCTGATACCTGTAAATGTATTTTGCTTATGTTTTTGAAAACAAAATATGCTTTTGATGAGGATGCACATCTCCACTTACAGCTGCCACACGTTTCACTACAGGGCCTCATCAGATTGTCTCTCTAGTTCAGATTTGATGCCAAAGAATTGTCTGCTAATGACAGTGGTCAACCTGAAGATATCTTTAGGGTAATGTGAAAGCGAGTTGGATTCCAAGCAAGCAAGGATTATGGCTAAAAACAGTAACCAGAATTTAGCAGTTACTGTAATATGCTTGTCTAATTTAGATTTGAACCAGGGTCTCAAAAGAAAGCAGTATTTTTCAACATCTTTCTGCTATCTCTTAATACTATTGTGTATAAAGTTAAGGTTATACTAAGTTGAAAAATATTTTGAGCTTAGTTAAGAACACTGTAAAATAACAAACTGTTTTATTTAATTAAAATTTATTATTTGCTCCTTCAGTGTAGTGGTGGAACTTTACTTTGGTGTGTATTATTATCCAAGCTAATAAAAATTTCAATTCTAGGCTGCCTTGATGATCTCTCTGATTTGGATGTACTATTCGGAGCCAGTTACAGTGCTTCCAAGCAAATGGCTCGCTCCGCTGGAGCGCTTGGTGGCCTTTCCTACGGGGGTGGCAGGTAAGCTCTGTCCAGTGGAAGAAATACATTTCCCAAGCCCCTGCAGATGCTAACAATGTAGCCATGAGGAGCATACCTGAATGAAAAGCATTGCTTCTGTATGATTCTTCTAACTCCCTGAGCACAGGGGGGAGTTTCAAACATTTGATTAGCTCTTTCCTATGTATTCAATAAAAGGGGCTATTTGTCATTTGTATTTCTTTTCAAACAGCACAGCTTTAACTTAGTATGGAATAGGCCCTGGAGACTCAGACATTTTTTAAATGTTAAAGACTCCACTGAAAGAGTGGAATTGGGTTTGAAAATGGGCAAATATTACATAGGTCTGTATCGCTTACATGTGTTTCTTATAAACTGCTGGGGTTTCATAGTAGTTTAGCTCCAGAGTGATTTAGGTATGCTCTCTCTTGGCATTTTGCCTTGTCTGTTCCCAGCCTTTTTCTCACCACACTTCTGTTGCATTTTTACCTGCTTAAATCCTTTTCTTTTATGCAGTTTAATTAATTAATGATCAGAAGGATATCACAGGTTTTAGATACCTATTTCTCAGTGAAAACTCTGCTGGCTCTGTGCTAATGGGATAAGCAGGCGGGAAGAATGACAGGATAGTGTGTGGAAATTTACCATTGAGCTAAAAAGCTGCTGGTGCCTCTTCGTGTTAGGCTTGTAAGTCCCAACTGCCTTAGAAGGAATTCCAAAACACACTGTTGAAATTGGATGTTGTTGTATCTTTAATTGCTGTCTAGAGAATTATTTGTATTCAGCATGCTTACTGGACAAAAGAAGAGTCTGCTTCTGTGCAGGGTGGGGGGGTAGTCCTTGAAAAACATTTATTTAAACAGCATTTGAAGGGATTTAAAAAGGGTCACATCCATGTCTGCCTTCAAATCCCCTTTTTTTGTCTTGGCTGATAATCACTTTACTGTGGAGATCGCCTTTGAATTCTAGGGGATAAACACAAAAGTGTCTAAAAATCACCCAAAAGGTAGTTTCTTCACGTGTGTGCTATGAACAGCTGTGTATTCTGTGATACTCTGTAGAAATGATTCCATGTAGTGTGCAACATGCCTGTGCTATGTATTACAGTCAGGACACACCCTCGATTCCATGGTACCAATACACGTTTCTGTGCTGCTAGTGGGAAGGACAGGACCCTTTAAAAGAGCGTCTGGGGGCAAGGCAGCGAAAGTCTGAGTAGTGCTTTCCTATATATCTGTGTGGGGAGCAGGGGGAGAGAATTTAGGTTCTAGCAAAGTATTCTCTTACTTGCCGAGCCTTTAACTTCAGCACCTGAGATGTTTTCTGTTGGGTACATGGCAAATGTTTTTAGCTGTGGGTTGTGTATACCACAGTTTCACTCGTATTCATGTTATTTGGTACTCTTTCCCCCCCCGACAATCTTCAGGTTTTCTCAGGAGCTAACATGGAGTTAGGTGCCATCCCTTGAAGAGAGACATTTGTATCTAAAAAGGAAGATGTTTTGTTCCTGTTCATCTCATAACTCTGAAGTTTCATTTTTACACTTCCAAAGTTGTGTTCAGACGCTTGTGTGCTTCAGGGTTATTGATGCAATGACTTAAATCCTGTTTTATATCTCTTTCAGGTGGTGTTGGAATTACATGTTGGCTGGTGGTTTGTAATAAAGTTGTAGCTATCTTGCTACACCCTTTCAGCTGAAGGAATCCCAGTGATCCATGGAGTCCTCAACTACGTTTTCATTATCACTGTTTTAAATCAATGAAAGCAAAAAAAGGAACAGTTGTCTTCCTCAGACTCGGTCTGAGATCATCTTTGTTACTTCATTTGGATATCAGTCAGTATTCCTTTTGATTTATTTTATCTTTCCTTAGTTTGTTTTTCAGTTTGGTGGTCAGTTTTCAAAGAATAGCAGTGCTATTTGCAGAACCTCATTTTGGATCTATTTCAACAATTATGAACACTGATCCATGGCAGAACCGTAAGATTTTGTCATGGCATAGTCACAAAATGTAAAAGTCTTGGATTTGTATTTTTAAGTTGGCAATACAATAGCATTAGGAATCCTTTTGTGAGCTTTGCTGTATAATATGGCAGAGGTGACTATATTTGGTGACAAGTGATACTAGAGGATAGAGGCAGGTGTTTTGGTTGGCTCGGGGTAAAACAGGATTAGTTTCCTCCTTGTTTTTTACAGTAGAATTGGTGTATTGTGTATTCTTGGACTGTCTTAGAAAATGCATTATTGATATATACGCAGAATCAACCTTTTATCTCTTAGAGACTCACTCAGTTGCCAGATACGGGACGGCTGGATACTTTGTCCTCCCTGACTTTTAAAATTCATTGAACACCTGATTTTTTCCCCTGCCTTTATTGATAACTGACCTTTTCCTTCCTTGACATTTTCTCTGCTTCCCAAGCTGAGCGAGGATGACAAACTATTTCCTTCCATGTTTTGGGAGGAAAGGTCTGGCCATCCTTCTCAAGCACAGTGTTAAGAGAGAGCAAGTAGAAGACAATGCTGTTCCTTCGGAGGACTACATTCCCTGGCTTTAGCACACAGTAACGACAGTCCAAGGTAGCCTGAAACAGACATGTCAATGTAAAAAGGCAAATCAGTGATTTAAATCCCTAAAGTAGTAACGGAACAGTAGCAAGCAGGAGGAAGAGGGAAAACAGTGTTCTACTTTGGAGTAAATCCTTCTTGCTGTATTTAAGTACAGGAAACAGTCACAATATTTTGAATTTAAAGGTGGACAGAATTCTTCCTAGTACCCTGCCTGTAGAACTGTGACAAAGTTGTGATATTTTCCATGCTACAGTGGCATCTGCAACCCTGTCATCGTGGCCCCATAAGGCAAATGAGTGGGTGTATAAAGTTCTTGTTCCACACCTCCTTTTTTTTGTTGACATAAACCTGAACAAAGCTCTGAGGGGTACCTTTCCCTCTTCTGCTGGGCTTTGGCAATTCTGGTTCCGCTTCCCACTCTGCAGAGTGGAGGCGTTTGCTGTGTTGTTTCAGGTCTTCTGCCTTCCTGCAGGGATGAAGGAAGGGGCTAGGGCCCCTCCAAAATTAGCACTGCCTTTAGAAATGAATTCAAAAGGTCATGATATGTTGTGTGTATATAAGCATGAAATGATGGGGTTTTTAAAAGGTTAATTTAAAAAAAACAATGGTTTTATATTAAGTACGAGGTTTAGCCAACGTGAAAATTGATGCATCATCAAGAAAAATATGTTGTGATTGAATGTTATGTATAATCATGTTTTTTTATTAACGAAATAAAGCTTTTCAACCCATCTCAGGTTTTCTAATCCATTTTCCAATGTTAATTACAGTGTTCCTAAAAAAAAAAAAAGCCCCCAAACTAGCAACACCCCCACCATGTTGTTACATAAGGAGATACTGTTGGATTCAACAGGCCTAATTTTTTTTTATTTTTCTATTTTAAGTATTCGGGACGGATTATTTAACGATGACATATATCTGAATCTAAACATGTGGCTAATGGTATTTCTGCTTAGCTTATGATGGTATTGCAGAGTTTAACACAGTGAAGTCAACAAGAGCAGCATTTTAGATCTTCACAGTAGCATTTGCTGTTTATCCACCCTTAGCATGGGGTCGTCAAATACGCAGTTTGTTTGCTGCTCTGGTCAAACATTTGGTGAATAAGGGCAAAAAGGCTTTTGGTCACCTACACAGTACAAAGAGGAGTGTTGGATTACATAGGCTTGTTTGCAGCAGTAAAGGCATTGTAGAAATATTAATAGCTCACAGAGGAGAAGCACCTACTCTTGTGGCTGCACAAACTCATTCTTAAGCACTGCTTCAAGAAAAACCTTGGAAATTTTGCAAAGAAATATGCAGCAAGTAGGTTCAGATCTAAACGTCTTAATCGCCTCTAAAAGCTTTTGCGGTATGTTTTCTTTTTAAAGTGCTACTGCTTCTTAAAATTAATAGAATACACATAATTTTCCATAATTTCACATTTTAGCAAACGTGTCATGAATTACTACGAGGAACAAAACATAATCCTTCCACCCTTGCTTACATAACCTTAAACACGGGATTTTTAAAGGCTTTTTGAGAACTGGGTATGCCTGACTTCTCCAAAACAATAGTTTACCCTTGCACATTCATCTTTGGATGTCAGCTGTGGAAGTTACCAGGCAAACTGCTTTGATAAGTTCTAGCAGTGGAAAAGAATGAAGCTTTAGTGCTTTATAATGCTAGTGAAAACAATGTAATAGCAAATTATTTTTATTGTGTGTGAATTCTGGAAGCTATTTCAGGAGTGAAGAAAATAATTATTTTCTTTTATTGCGTTGTTGGTACTAACCCAATAATGAACCTTTTGAAAGCAGATCACTGGCTTCAGCTAGCTAACAAATAATCAGCTTCAAAATTCCAACTGCAGAGAGACACTAGAAAATTGGAAATTACAAAACAAAGAGTAACTTGGACACTTGGTAACAGGTTAAAATGGCATCATTAAGGCACTCTTACTACAGTCAAGAAAAAATGTTCTTTCTGACAACTGATGTGACTATCATTTTGGAAAAATCACTGAAAGAAATCCTCAGTACTTGTAAGATTTAATATGTATTTAATGAAGGTAAAAACTTTAAAAAAATGTTTTAAATTGTATGTATTTCTAAAGATAAGTTGATGTACCTAACGAAACGTCAAATAACTAGTTTGTGTATTCTCATGAGGTTATTCGTAACGATTTCATTAGTGTTAGATGCTTTACATCATGAACTAGTGGTGGTGGTTTGAAACTGGGCTTGTGTAATTGTGCATCCTTTCACTTCTCTCTCTTCATTCCTCTCATGTTAGAACTTGAATGTCTGTCTCTTCAAACACAGCCTGGTCCAAAGAGTTCTTTCATAAGACTGATTTTCCTTTCAGCGAATGTCATATGAGCGCAGCCTTTCGCTTCAGTGGAACTGTCCTTCTGCCTTGTTTTGGTAACTTCACCAAAAGATGGTTCGTATAGCCCAGAGGAATTTTCCACTCTCGATTCAGCTGTCTCACTGCACTCCTGTCCTGCAGGTCTATGGTTGCAAAGACTGCCTTTTTTGGATTTGGTACCTGGTGTAGGAAGCCCATAGTGCAAATTCTCAGTGGCTTCTGAGAAGATGTATTTTTTTTTCAGCCTAGGGGGTGTTTTGTTTCTCGGACTTGGAGTTATGCATTTACTCCTTGCCTTCTCACTGTTATTTAGCTGTTCGTCTGGCCTTTTTTCTTCTTCTTTATATTCTTCCATTGCATCTTTCCCTTGATTGTTCTCCTTTACACTGTCGCTTACAGGAGTTTGTTCAGTTTTCATCAGTTTTCTTAGCTCCTGTTTAAGCAAATCTTTCTCTTTTTCGTCTTCTTTCACATATTCCAAACAAGCATATTCTTCCATCAGTAGTCTGCTCTCCCTTAAATACTCTAAAATGAAATATTGTAGGTTTTAGGAATGTTTTTAAATCGCCTAGGAACATAACGAGTCATAAAGCATTAATAAGAGCAAGTTTTACTTCCTTATTTCATTGGTTAAGTAGTTACTATAGTAGTAGTATTCCAGTCTGGAGGATTATGATAATACTATGTACTAATAAATATGACAGGATGGGGCAAGATTTAAACAAAATCATTGTGCCATTGAATCCCGGTAAACATTTTTACCTTTTTCATTATGTTTAATTTTATTAAATGAATTAGCATGCAAATATAATCAGTAATGACTAAATATAGGGCCAGAAAAGTCATGTACAATGCAACAGAGAAACCACGTGAGATCTAATTGTTAATTGTCTTGCTTTTAAATGGAACTTAGAGATATGTAGGATTTTCTCTCCCTTAATTGACAACACAGTTGCTTGCTGCATGGAGCAGAATACGCTGCCACTCTCTAACCTATAAATGAGATGGCTTTGCTTATTAGTAGAAAAAGGTGTATGTATACTGAATGCCTACAGTAAAGACATTTGTCTGCTGCAGGGGTCAAATTATAGTTGGTTCTGTGCTTCGGAGAGACTCGGAGTACCTCCAAAATGAGAGAGAGTCCAAGCCTAAAGGAGAAAGCTGCCATTAAAATAGCTAAATAATACTTCAATAAATAAGCCTAATATCAGCAGTGGAAGGAAGCCAGACGAGAGTCTGGCAAACAGTAGGGAGGGAGACTGGCAGGCAGATTCAGAAGACCTGTGTTTTCTGTCAGTTTTAAAAGGGGATTTCAAAGACAAACAGTGACTTCAGTTATCTGGTGGGGACTGGAAAGGCTGTAGGAAGAAAAGGCGGAGTACAAAACACAGGAGTTAATGCATTCCAGATCACTAGCTCTGTTACTGATCTAGTGAGTGACCTCAGCAACCTGTTTCACCTCTGTAAATGCCTGACCTGCAGGTCACGCAATGTCTGCTACTATTTGTGAAGTATTTGGCATGATGGCCCTCAGATCTGGGTTCTTTCTACAAGCCTCACCATAACAAAAATAACATGAATATTGTTAGAAAGAAAAACTCAGATAAAGGAATAGAGGCATTGGTTTCTTCTGTTCTATAGAGTCTCTTTAAAAGAAAGGTGTTTATGGATGAGTCCCTTGCATATAGCTGTTACATGAGAACACAGTCAATGGCAAAGATTTAAGTAAAATCTATTCACAGTGCTTATTGTCATGAGGAGATATTCCCAGCCCTCAAAGTCCCTTTCCTTTCTCAGCAATAGATCTTGAGCCGGAAACCTATGTTGACATCAGCTCGGATGAAGATTCACAACCAACAATTGGAGATCAGCATTTGATCAGTGTGGAATTACCAAACTATTAACTGATGTATAATTTCAGTGCTCAAGCACGGGCTTTTTACCAAGGTGAGCAGGGAATCCCCTTAGAAGTACCAAAGTCTGAAGGTGCCTTACACTCGGAGCTGCTCTGCTGTCAGCGCAGCACGGCCAGCAGCTGGGTTGCAGTGACACTCAATATATCATTTAGTTGAACTAGTTCCTGTCAGTCAGGTGCCAGCTAACGGCTCTCAGACCCATCTAAATTACCAGTGCCATCAGTTCAATCAACTTTTGAAAACATCAAATCGGTTTTGGAGAAAAATGTTAAAAATATACCTCTATGTGTTCTCTTAGAAGTTTCTGGCTTTGGTATTTTCTTGGTTGATTGCTTTTCTGTTCTACCTTGGACATCTTTGTATTCTTCATTTGCTTTAGCTTTTTGATTTTCATCTTCTGAAGACTTTTTCTCCTATAATTGGCAATTAAAGGTAAAAATAACGAGGGAACACTTGTTCAGTCGCTTTTAAAAGTACACAGTCAGTGCAATACTTATAAAAGGTTAGTAAATTATATTATTATTATATTCTTACTTTGTATCACAACATTTGTCCTACATATTTTCTATAATATTGTTATATTCACACAAAATCCACATCCTAGAAAGCTGATGGATCAGGCTATTCAGGCATATTACTGAAACTTAAGGAAAAACATACAGCTTAGTTGAGAGTTTAAACAAGGGATTGGATCCAGATCTTTCATACCTTTGTTAGCTGAATCGCACTTTTTTCTGTTTCCTGCATTTGGTACTGTGACAGCAGCAGTGATCTAAAACTCTGTTTATCTACTTGTACTGATCTGCTTATACTAAGACCTATTGAAAAATGACAAACGTTAGTGATACAGTAGTTTCTAGAATTACATTGTTGCTATAAACAAAAGACATCTCTGATGGTTAATAATACCGGTAGATGGCCTAAGATTTAATTATTTTTTTTCCCCTGCATGTCTTGATGCCCTTTAATAAAAAAAATAATATTTTGTTCTGCTTGATCTATAAATGCTGAAACTGGAATACAAACATAACTACCATAACTTCAGAGCATTTTTATCTCTACATCATTATGTCATAAATATACTTAAGTTTTAGATCTACAAAATCCTGTTCAGGTAGAACATGCAAAGTCAGACAAATGTGTCTACACCCTAGAGCCCACATGGGCTTAATTTGTGTGGTTAATTTAAGAGGTCTGGTGTGAGGCCTCAGCTTTCAGGTTCCTAAATGCGGATATTACAGAGTATAATAAACATGCTCACTTTTATGCCTTCTTTCTTGGTTACTCATCTTTCTCACAGTTAAGCACTTCTGTAAGGCTTTAAGGAACCACACTCTCCAGAGGAAACGCTTAACACTGAAATATTTATGGTCTTTGAAAAGCAATTCCAAGGGAGGGATTGAACGAGACATTTAAAAAATAGTTGAATGGAGATAGGATGGAGAAGGTGAGTATATCTTTCTTTTATTCTGTTTTCAGAATAATTTTGACATGAGTATGGTGGCTGAGAAAGCTGGTAGCCCTGCAGCAAAAACTTGATCTTGCCTACATCACCATTCTGCCTTATTCCCAGTTTTAATCTCCGAAATCAGAGGAAGACTCTCCATAAAAATGGTGATTTTCAAATGTCTGCAGTTTGGTGGTAAAAAGGATGTTGATAACCAGTGTGAGGATTCCTCTTGAAGGAACGGCTCTGATGATGTGGAGGGAATTAGATTTCCCTTTCAAAAGGCAGGTATTTAATTCCAGCAGCATTTTCAGCAGCCACCAGCCGAGAGCCGTTCGGTTCCTCACGTCCAGGCCTAGGGGGAGCTGTACCTCTAGAGGAGCTGGTGAGACCTTCCCACAGCTCAGTAAACTTTGCTCTCATGGGGAGCCTACAAAATCAATGGCTTAATTCAATAAATCAATTGTATTTAGCTACATAGAGCTTTCTGATAACCTAAGCGAGCCTGCCCTCAGCTATTTATCATCAGCAGGGTTAAAAATGCAGCCCCGCGCTTCTTTTTTTTTCTTTCCTGCTGGGTTAACATTTTTGTAAACGCAGAATAGAAAATAACTACCTGACAAAGTAGCTCTGTTATAGGAAAATTCAAGTCAGTAGTGAAAAGGAAAAAAAGGTTGCCAGTAATTCCAACTCTAGATTTCTAAATCATCTGTTTCCATTAACTGGCAGAGAATAAAACCTCTATCGGCCAAAAATACCAAAAGATCCGGCAACTTACTTTGGAACATTTTAAATAACAAAATATCAAGTCCCTCTCCAACTAAGCTTTATCTTGCTTAAAGGAAAGAAAATCTTAAATAGTAAGCAGGGATTTAAGTACTGCAATTTAAGTAACAACATTGTACAAGTACATATGTGAGTAAAATTTTAAAAAACCCATAGCTGGTTATGTGATGTAACTAAAACTAGAATTCAGAGCTTCATAAATTCAGACATGTCTGACTTGGAATGAGAAGCAGGAATTTGTGTTTCTGAATTTTACAACTTGAATTACCAACTTTTTTCCTGTACTTCATTTGTAGTTAAGGCAGAGTAATGGATTTGCAAAGGCAATGAAGAGGAAAGAAATAAGCAACTGACTACAATAAGTCTTTGTACTGATACCATAATCTGAAGAATTCTTTGGGCATGTGCAATATTTCCAGCAGATATGTTTGCTACCATGTAAATTTTGGTTTTTGCTCATCTGTACCCACGTGAAGTAGAAAGTTCCAATTCCTCCTTCAGTTTAGGAGCAGGAATATCTGACTAGTATTTTAAAGAGATGCTTAACCCAGGAGTGTCAATCTTCAGACCATTATCCAAAATTAAGGGTGTAACTTCACACAGAAAGCTCTCCTTTAGGATATTGACAGAATATTTATGATCCTGACTACGAGGCAAAATATTACTTTCAATGTGGGGAAAGTATTTGAAATCTGTTTATTAGTTTCTGTATAAAACACATTTATTAGTAAATTCTAGATACCACATCTAAAGAATATGACAATCAGAAATTTATAAGTGCTTCAATAAAACTATCTTCTTCAACATTTTTGTCTCTGATGAATACAGTGAGCACATGGGCAACATAACCAGTCTTGGCTTGGATGCTTTGTGATTGTTTTTAGCTGTCAAGTTCAAAGGGTGGGATCCACTTGTCTGAACCCAGGCGCCTCACGCTATTTGAGATGCCCTCGAGTATTCAAGGTATCCACATAAGTCTGGCCAATATTACATAGGACCGATGGAATATGTCCTAGAAGGACACACCCGTGTCCTTCTGGAACAACAACCACAGGGCCAAGCAGAATGTGCTAGGACATCTCAAATGGCACTGGATGCCTATAATTAGGCAGTTGAATCTCACAAAAGGTACCTGCTCTTTGAATGTTTGACAGACAAGATCGCATATAACAGGTATTTCTCTCCAACACCTCTCTGAGCATCCATGTGAAAGAAATACTTTATTAAAGAGCTCTTTCTTCCTTGAGAGAATTAATTTTATATTGTTCTTTTCTATCATTCTACTATATTATCCTAAATCTGTGGATGGAATTAATTGAGAGGATATACAATAACTGGGTTATTACCATCTCTGGTTGCCCATTTAAATCTACTTATGCTAAAAACCAAAGGGCTACTTCTAAGGATAAACCTTCTCTTCACTCAGATAAGCTGACAGTATGATCATCAGACTGGCCTTTAAACTTCCTGAACCTCGTCTCTGAAAACTCCTCCTCTCCTTTCACCCCAACAAACTGCAAGTTGCAGGAGCTTCAGTGACAGACATCGAAGTATCTCTGCTATTTTTCAGTTGGAGGGTCTAAGGATTTTAAATATGAGAAAACAGTTTCTAAAGACCCAATTACATTCATTATTTTCACTCATATAAAAGCACTTTGAAAGTCCCTACTAAAACTAGGAACTTGCTACAGGAGGGTTGTTTGTGAGATGCTTTGAGTTGGTGAGCCATGTTGTTGGAATTCTACGTCTCGGGTGACCCCTTCTCCAGGCCAAGTCAAAGGCAACAGCCTGAAGAGAAATTAATCTTCAAAAGCTTTGTGGACCGATAGCTTCACCATGTTAAAAAACAAATAGGCAAACAGCTTGATGCAAATAGACACATAAAATAGCAGCACTACTTCAACATCACTGGTAGTACACTAAAACTATGCATGCAAAATGCTATCCATGATGAAAACGGGGTAAAACATTAAAACCAGGTCATGTATTTGTATTCATAAAATAAATTAGCAAAAAAACAAGCACTTCTCATTAAATTACACGTGGCAGAATATTTTTAGTCCATATAGAAGTACTATATCGGCTTTTATTTTGGAATACACGTCCCAGTTATAAAACAATGTAAGTTTCACATAACTGAAAAAAAAAGGAAAATGAATATACACATACTTTTTTCATGAGGTACTGAATCACTTTTGTCTTTTAGGATTTTAAACATCCGATTTGCATAGATATTTTTTACATGAAGTTGCCGATCCTTTTCCTAAAAAGAAATAAACACTATTAAACCTTTAATATGCATTAGGAATTACTTTTTACCAACTTAATTTTCCCATATTGGGAGAAAACTGTCAGTGATTTGCTTTGTGCCAGGCCATGTGGTGACTTTGTTATTTACATACATAGAAATCTGTTATTTTCTTTCATGAGCCAAATCAAAATTATCTGTTTTTAAGGCTAAGAACACACCTGTAAACCCACATCATCTTTTTCGTAACACAGTGTTCCGAAGATGAAGTCTTCTCTAATGATTTTTTTGCATCTGTTGCTCTGAGTTATTTTTTTTTTTTCAGACTAGGTAATTTTGGGCTTTATTTCCTTTTTTATTTTTCTTAAATTTATTTACTCAGTGCCCTTGGTTACAATACGCTAATTTTTGTTTTACAATCTATTGCTTGGGAGATGACATAAACTTCAGAGGCACGCTTTTAAAATGTATTTAGCAAGAGTCCTCTTTCCTCTCTAAAATCTGTCTTAGTAAGAGAAAAGAGATTTCAGTAACACCCTCACCGTATCAGTTTTTAGTGTGAGAAATAGGAGCTGCATTTACTTTGGAGATACAGGTTGTCCTGAAAGTGTGTCTGAACACCTTGAACGGTCCAAATAAGGCAAGTACCCAAAATGATGAATGTGGAAGAATAAACTCTGTTCTGGCACAAAAATAAGGTTAATAAGCATGTCTGGTCTTCTTTGTGGTAAAACAATAGAAAGTTTTGTGAATCTAAATATAACATTAAGAGAAATGAACACATAGAAAACTGTGCAGAAAACACGTGAAATACAACTATTTTCGAGAAGTGCTAAGGTGAGAACTGTGCTTTAGAATAATTTGCATTTTGGAACAGTTTTACATTAGTGTTCCCGGGGCTACAATTATTCCTGCTTCCCAGATCTGCACATACAGGAGGAGATGAGACTCTGGCAGGGAAATAGCACAGCAAATGGTTTTTGGGGACCTTGATACAGGGCCCAGGAAGAGCATGGTACTCTTTCCCTTTCCCAACAGCTCACTGTTGCTGCCAAGTATCAGGAGGAAGGTCTCTGCAGCAGACAGACAGGTAAGAGGGACAATGCCCCTGTACAGAAATGCAAATCTCCATGGATCCTCAGGAGCTGCCTGTTCTGCCCTTCACAACTTCTGGGAAAACTACCCATCACAACATCTTTCACAGATACTTAATTCCATTTAGAAAGAGAAAGCTTCCTAGAGGGATCAACAAATCGATCAGTCACTTTATACAGAAATAAAAAATTAAGTGTGTTACAAACACAGCTTAACTTGTTAAAAAGCCACAAGGGTTTCCATGTTTCCTGGAATATGTACTGCTTTTCTCGTTTACAACTCAGAGGACATACCATTTGTGTTGGCTTTTTTTCTATTTAGTGTCACTTTTAGGCTTTTCTGCATGTTTGGTTTCAGGGTTTCCATGTTTCCTGGAATATGTACTGGTTTTCTCGTTTACAACTCATAGGACATACCATTTGTGTTGGCTTTGTTTCTATTTAGTGTACTTTTAGCATTTTCTTCATGTTTGGTTTACAAGCAGTACAGTAAGTGTTGAACTGAACATATTTGTCCCAAAAATATTTGTCTAAAAACAAAGCTGGAATTTAAACCAACTGTTGAAACATTTACATGAGTCTTTTTGTTAAACTCTACTTTTGCACATTGTAATACCGGTCTCATTTTGATTTGAAAGTGTTTCTGTAAGTGACCTCATTTAAATTTAGTAGATGAATATACTGACCTACATGTATCAAAAAGGTAACAAGTTGGGGTGCATTGTTTGTTCAAATTATGATGCATTAAACTCCATTTCACTTAGCTATTGAACTACTTTGAACTTCTGACAAATAGACCCTACAATAATTTCATCATTTGATATTTTGACTTTTTTTGGTAGACTATAGACTCAACTAGGAAACAGAAATTCCATTACTAACTAATATAATAAAGGCAAAGGGAATATTAAATATTTCAATTTTCTTGTAGGAACAGAAACCTGTTTAAAATCTTGAATACCTTAATTTTTTGGTGAAGAGAGTTAATTTCCATTTGCAAGTTCTTTGTAATTATCCCAGCTTCCACAGCTTTTTTGTTCTCACTTGCCAGCTGACGTCTAAAGATGCTATTGTTCAACTTCAGTTGCTTTTCTAGGCTCTTAAAAAAATTACATATTTTACCATATGGATGGACTCAGTATGACTGCTGAAATATTTTAGTTCTTACCAGATTTAAGAAATAAGCATGCTAATATAATGAAAAGTTAGCGTATAATAATTATATTCTATTGTAACCAATGCATGAAATGATGATGAAGTATCTGAAAAATTACTTTGAAAATTAGAAATAAATGGTTTAAAACCTAATTTTACTAAACAAAAAATATATATATTTGGCATTCAAACATAAAAAATAAGGCTGTACATTACCTTTCTGATGGATTCATGAATACAGTCATCTTTGAGAAATGTTAAGACAATATTTTTGTTCAAATTGAGATCTGTTAACTGCAGCAGCAGAAGGGGCTTAGTGTAAATGAAAATGAGGTAAATTATTGAGTACTTTATCACCAGAACCCAGTGCCTTGCACTGAAATTGTAGTTACTAAAGTTACAAGGTGGACACCCAAACCTGTATGCTTTTTATAGCTTCTCAATAGGACTTCTCTAAACAGAAAGTTTTCAAAAAAGAGTTCAAATTCAGCTGTTTATATTTTCATTTTCTTTCCTGTAATAAATTCACTTCAGAACTAGCTGTTCAGATGGTGAAATGCCTCTAAGATTACCTGGCTCTTTATTTAATTTTATGCATAATATACCTCATAGAAAATAAAAATTAATTCCCGGAGGACAATGGAAATTTTACTCTTCCAGTTTTGTATTAAAAACTGTATTCCTGTCCTTTTGTGAAAGGTTCCATAAGAGTAAAGAAGTATGAGATATTAAAAGGAAGTGAATTACCTCCTCTTAAACTCCCACCAGGCTTTTACTACAATTGCATAATAAACCAAGGGTAGAACCAACCCTAAAATCTAGGACACCTGACTACAGCTGACTACGGCGAGCAATTAGTGAATAGGAGATGTAGGTATGTCCATTATGTCCACCAGCACCAGGTCAAAATAACAGTGCTAGTTCCAGATAAGCCAGCTTTGGTTGTTCAAGGAAGTAGATCAGCAACAGCCTGGTGGTCTCCATGTACTTGTGTGCTTCGATATGGTAAATCAAGGTCCGTGCTATCGCAGCTGGGCAGCTCAAGCCAGCCTGGGTACTCCGTGCTGCTGGCAGGGAGCAGCACAGACACTCTCCTGAAGATTGCTCTCCAGCTACAATGCTACGCACTGACCGAACAGAGTTAAGGCATGTGACTAAATTCCTAGAATATTTCTATTGCCAAACTTAATCTACTCATACATGTCTGTCCGATTTTAAAATGCTGGAAGGGGGTACTCCTGCCATTTGTAATACCTTACACTCAGGACAGCACTGGATTAAAAAGAATGTTCAATTTTACAGGACTGTATCAGAATCATTAATGCGACAAAAAGCAGCTAAATCCTCCACTATTCCTGCACAGAAACCTCTCCTATTATTGTTCCACAAACACAATGATACACACGTATTACCTGTATTCTCGTATCATTCACTTCCAATTTTTCTGTAAGGACTGCCAATTTGTGACCAAGATCCTCTCTCTCTGCAAGAGCTTTGTCTTCTGAAAGCATAAGCAAGGTCTGCAAAGCATCTTTAGCTTTCATCAACTCTGCTTCAACTTTTCTGAGCTTCCTGGATGTATTTCTCTCATCCTCCTGAGACATCCTCAGGAGTTCCCTTAAGGCTCTCACCTCATTATAATGACTTGCTAAAAGACCTGTCAAGTTACTTTCTGAACTTTCGTATCTACCTATTGCTTTTGAGTGTCGATACTGAAGCTGTTTCAAAAGGTGGTTTTCTAAGGTTGATGCTTCTAGTTGGTGTTGCAAATAGATGATTTCATTCTTCAGCTCTTTAATTTTGTGAAGTCTTGCTGATGATATTCGCTGAGCCACTGCATTTTTTTTCTGGGAAATCATACCACTCTGCAGGCTTAAAAATGAAGAATTCTGATGTGGTATCTTCTCAGCTGGCAATTCTTTCTCCTCCTGCATTCAGACCAAAGTAAACTGGCGTTGATATACAGCAATGATTTGAGACAGCAAAATCACTCTATGTCTTTACTGCTCATATAAGCTCATATACTGCCCACTCAAGCTACTTAACTGTGGTGTATTTGACAAAGTGCCCAAGATCTATACTAAGACCCAACATTCAAGTATTTCATAGATAAATCCATTGAAGATTGTATATCTCTGTGTACGCATTTATGTGGCTGCGCTGGGCCACAGCTAACTAGGTCTGTAGGAGGTCAAATTCCTTCCTTTCATTCTCTGAGGCCATTTTCATTTGAAACAGCCAACATGCTCTCTTTCCATTAACAAGGGTGGTATCTTCTGAGGCAAACAGCAGTAATACTCTGGGAATAACATAGTAAAGTATGTTTAAGGTAACACATTACTCCAATATCAATGGAAATAAATTTTCTCACAGTAAATCACGCGGTTCACTAATGTAGGCATGATCTGGGGACTGATGAACCAAAACCAACCCATCTAGAAGGATTCCCAAGAGGGAGGACCTACTCCTTGAATAGGGATGTGACAGAAAACAACATAGTAATCTACACGTCTGCAAGAACTCCAAACCCAAGCTGATCAAAATAGCACTTGGTTACATTTCTCTGCAGCTAGGATTTCTAACCAGCTTTCTAGAATTTTCAAGTCAGCCTTGAATTGAATTACATTTTTAAACCTTACATGCTTATTAGTATAGAACAGTTATGCAGTTGTGTACACTGTTTCTGTACAGCAATTGAAAAAAAATATATGGGCTAGCTTTCTAAGTGTATTACTGCCATTGCCTTTCTTTATGGCCAGCATTCTGAATGGATTAGTCTCATTTTCCTTTCCTGAAACATAATTAGAATTTGAAAATAGTCAAGACTATAGATCTGAGTGTGTTTCCCTTTGCAGGCATATATTCAATTTCACTATAGGTCTCAAGACATTTCAGGCAGTATTTCGCTAGAAGTTTATTACAACAATTTATAGATCACATAACGTTTTATGGATAAAATAGGCAAGGTCCTAAACTAAAAAACACCAGAGGAAAAGGCCAGGTCTTTTCAAGCACTTCTGTTGAATCCAATAGGTGTTCTGCACACAAACTTTTTACAGAAGCAGGCCCCAACCAGAACACCCTGTTGCAGATGGCAGCCCATGTGGCTGGTGTGCAAGGCAGCGAGTCAGAGGAAAGGAGGAAGGGGATCAGTTACACAATTCTGTCTGTCCTTTGCTCTTACTCCTGAAATACCTGATCCATTCCACTCTTTCCGGATACAAACTGCATGGTCTTTGTCCTGATGGCCCTGCTGATAGAGGACAGAAAGTGGGGAGAGGCTGGTAGGACCTCACTCATAGAAAGCCACATGGGGAGAATAGCTATTGAATTCAGTGTGATAGCAAAAGGAAAGGAAAGAAAGAATCTAAGTTTAGGAATCAAAAGTAGAGACTGTGATTTGGGCAGAGCAGTTACTTGTTTTTACATCCTTATTAAGTGGATTAAGAAGGATTATCATGAAGGTTCAAGTAAACAGAAGAAATGCTAGCAGTCAGTTAAGGTCAGACACGTTCAGGTACTTTTGGGTGAGCAAAATTAATAGATGGCTGTGAAAAAAAACTCACCAGAGGTAAAAACCAAAGCAAATGTATGGTATGCAACCATCACACCTGCGTGTTCTCTGTAATAGGATTCCACTGCAGAAGGACTACAATATGACCACAGATGTTGTCACATAGATTTGCAAAATGAGAACAACCATGACATTACTATTTTAGTTTGCCAGACTGGAATGAGAGGATGTGGGAAAAATGGAAAAATATCTTCATGCAAAAGCTGAAAAATTTATTGTAAAATCTATATAAGTCTATACAGTGTGAAATTGTAGGTTATAATAATGTTCCTGGGAAAGCGAGCATTTCAAGTAGCCATGAACAAGCAAAAATAACTGCTTAAACTACCCAATGCAGCTAGTAGCCAATAATGATTCTTCTGCTAAATAGATTTTTAAAATGTGGTTATTCTTTCTGGTCTGCTAGTTTCATGCCAGTATGACTTCTTGACAGCAGCATATAACTTACATAATAGAAGAGCTAATCAGTGGTTCCTCTCTCTTTTTTTGGTTGATTTTCATCTTGTAGATTTGGTAGATCTAGGTGAAATTTTGAAGCTCAGCAGGAAAAGGGTCATTGGTTTTACACATTTTTTTGACGTGGCATAGTGGGATTTAAGAAAATATGGGTCTAGATACAAATATATGTACACGTTAAAAGATTCTTCAATGTTATTATTTATGTAAAGGGAATATATTTGTGCTACATGATAATTCCATTGAAGCACAAACTTAAAGCTGGACATAACATGGCTTTTTTGTCAAAACTGACACTTTTGTGCAGACATACAACTTTTGAGTAAATTTCCTCAGGAAAGGCTTTTTCAGACTCACTGTGTGATGCACAGTCAAAACCAGAAATGGCAGTATATGTGAGAGAGTGTTTTTCAAGTACTCAGATTAAAACTGAGGAATAAGGGTTGTAAAGGCGCTCCCACATCTCAAGTGATTATTCTGACTCTTGGATCACTGAGTATTGTGGGATACTGAATTTGAATTTCACTGAATTTTTAGAGTTGGAAGGGACCATAGAGATCATCTAGTCCAACTCCCCTGCTGAAGCAGGATTGCCTAGAGCTTGTCAGAGCATGTTACTCAGGACTGCATCCAGGTGGGTCTTGAAAATCTCCAAAGAAGGGGACTCCACAACCTCCCTGGGCAGCCTGTTCCAGGGCTCTGTCACCCTCACTGTGAAGAAGTTTTTCCTCATATTTGAGTGGAACCTCTTATGTTCCAACTTGTGTCCGTTGCCCCTCGTCCTCTTACTGGGAACCACTGAAAAGAGTCTGGCTCCCTCCTGCTTCAACCCACCCTTGAGATACTTGTAGGCGTTGATAAGGTCTCCCCTCAGCCTTCTCTTCTCCAGACTAAAGAGTCCCACCTCTCTCAGTCTTTCTTCTTAAGGGAGATGCTCCAATCCTTGAATCATCTTTGTTGCCCTTTGCTGGACTCTCTCCAGTAGTTCCCTGTCTCTCTTGAACTGGGGAGCCCAGAACTGGACACAATATTCCAGTTGTGGCCTCACCAGTGCAGAGCAGAGGGGTAGAATGACTTCCCTTGACTTGCTGGCCACACTCTTCCCTACGCAGCCCAGGATTCCGTTGGCCTTCCTGGCCACAAGAGCACACTGCTTGCTCAAAATACCACAAAAGAGAATCTCTATCTCTCTTCTCTCTCCTTCCTAGTGTTTGAAACATGATTTATTGTTTTTCTTCACTGAAAAACTGTTTCCTCTGTCTTCCTAATTAGTGAAAAAATGCCAAAGAAAGGGAACAGCTATATTTCTCAGGAGAGCCTCATTTTACTATTACTAGAAAACAAAGTACCTTTTCTATCATCTTGGGGGAAGATACACTGTCCTTTTTTCTTTTCCTTTTTTCTTTTTTTCCTTTTCCTGTGTTTTCTTCTTTTCAGATCCTGTTATTTCTAAATGTTGGCTGGTTCTAGCTGCTTCAGAGCAAGTCACTGACAAAGCCCTCAGAACAGTAAGAGTGAGAATTTTCACTTCTGTAATTCTCTACTGCATCGCCTACAATCATTACCTCTGCTACAGCTGCTGCTTCCAATACTTCTGTGCTTCGGGGAATCTTTAGTATCCCTGGTTTTTGTGCCACGTTCTGACTCACTAAAATATGAAGGAAACAATCCTCTGAGTTCACTCCTGTTTTATGGTAGAGGATTTAAAAGCTGACCTCCAAAACCTATCAAGGATGAGAATGTCATTGAGCTGTTTACAGTTAACATAAACATTACGAAACAGTGTTCAACTATATTAAACGATGCCAAGAAATACTGAGTTACCTTTAAAAAAAACATTCATTAATCTTTAACCCTTTCAAATAATTCTGTGGTTTGTAGCAAGTCAGTAAGTTTTTTTCCAGAATTAACTGCAATATTAAATATCCTAGTTTTTATCTCAGAATTTACTATGATACTGGCATGTATTTTCTAAAGATTTACAATGTACTACCATTTAAATGTAAACAGATACCACAGTTTGTTTCCTGTAATGTACACAATTTCTCCATGATTAATGTAATTTAAAAGAAGTGTAATTGTATTTATGCTTAATACCTACAAAGTGCTTTACAATACTAAAAAAATAATTCTTCAAGTCTCTAGAAACTGGCCATTTCTATGTAGTTTTTGTAGTATTTTTAGCTTTCCATTCATGTCATAAAAATATCATTTAGCCATATTTTTCAATAATTAGATCATAAATCAGATCACCAAATTAACTTATGCATTAATATAGGAAAAAAAAATCTTAGCTCTCCTACTGACATTATAGGTAGAGGACATAGCAGCACCTAAAGCTGCACAACAGAGTATCTTATTTAGAAAGTGAAATAAAGGTTTTCTTAAACTTGTGGGACGTTGCTTATTTTATTTTCTTTCAAATCAGAATTGTATGTAAAACAAAAAATCTTACTAAATAAAACCTCACAATGTAATAAAAGTGCCTCTGCCCAATTTGAGAAGAAACATTAGGGAAAACATCAATGTTTTTCTAATGAAAACAATTTCTTCACAGCCAAACTGTACTTAATATATTTGTTTGCTTTCAAAAGCACTGCAAAACATTTATCTCTATCTCTACACACTCATATAGCACTGTTGTGAAAGATGTAGTTCTCTGATGAGATGATGATTTTTTTGATCAGGTTCTAAGTAACATTGCTGCTTGCTCTGGAATTGTCTTCTCTTAATAGTCCAGTTTTTGAACAAAATGAGCTTTCCTAATTGTTTGGCTTTCTAAAAAACATGCATTTAGCATACAATACAGAATGCTGACTAATTTTTTATGTCTTTGTGAATGTCTCTCACACCTCAATTTTTTTTTCCCTACTGAGGCTTCTGGAGAGTAGAAGAACGGATCACCTGATACTGCTGGTACCATTATTTAAACACTGCAGTTCCGGTAAAAATTATTTCTTGGGATATGGTTCAATCTGTTTAATTTTCTTAATATCAAATGAAGACTACAGTTTTATAGATGCAGAATTCTACCCAGTAGTAGTAGAATAAGTTGTATATTTGGGGGGCGTTAAAATGATATTTTAGTTCAGATGGATTTTTAACAGGTAGTGTTCACTAAAAAAAAAAAATAATAAAAGAGAAGATATTTAGAACTTTTAGAATTTTTGTTTTGGTTTTTTTTTTGCTTTGTGGTGGCATTTTATTTTAAATAAAATTAAATTTCTTGAAGGGAGAGGGGAATCACATAACTTCCAAAGAAAATTAAACAGTGTAATTTAGGCTTTCACAAAACGTTCTAGGTTGAATCATCTTCAACCCCTTACATGAACACCTCTTCCTTGTGGAAGACTAAGGATTCCCCAGGGTCCTACTAAATCTGAGCCAGTGCAATAACCCCTGAGACAAGAACTTGTATTTTCAGATGAGTATTAGGCAAATGCCAGCTTGGTACATACATTTGTATTTCTGTTTAAATTTGATTTGGTACTGTCTATACTTTCTGGCCAAATTGTCTTTAAATGAAATTAGCTTAAATTAAACTCGAAACTACAGCTTTAATTTGTTTTGACAAGAAGTGTGGGCTGAACCTCACCATCTAGCTTCAAAAGCAGATGTTGAGAAATAAATAAAATGGAAAAGGAGAAGACAGAAAACCAAAAGGTGAATGACAAGAAACGGAGAAGTGAAATGAAAGATATTACCATAGCAATGAAGGAAAAAAAACATTAGCTGAAGGGGGACTGGAATGGACAAACACTAGGAGAATAAAAGTTGAAGGAAGAGATGCAGAACAAAAATAATTAGGGCCAAATCTATCTGTCAAAGATCAAAATGCCACTTCAAGCATCCAGAAACTGCAAAACTGTCACGGGAAAGAACTAAATGTAGTCTGTGTGCAAAAATAGAGTAAGTAGATGAAGGGGAAAATGCTGTCTGACTTTCCAGACCAGCATGGTGCAGCAGTCCCTTGGCTTCATGGCCGAGCCCTGAGCCCCAGGAGAACCAAACAGGGTGCCAGGGCCACCAGCTCACACAGGACAGGCGAGGGCATATCCAGGGCCCTCAGATCTGCCTCTGAGCTCCTCCAAGGGCCCCAAACAGCTTCCACAAAAGCCAGAGCTCCTCCACCACCCTCACGAGTGCAGGGCTCCCCAGAGTGCTGGTGGGGTCCAACTGCCACCCTGCTGTCCCCCATCACCTCAGAGGCCTTGAAGCCCTGCAACCCCCTTTATACCCTGGCAGGCCCACCGACGCCATCACAGTCAACTCCCGCCCCGACCTCAGCACCTCAACACCCAGCCCCAGGCCCTGGCAGCCACCTCGAGGCCCTGGCACTCAGCCCCATGCCCTGCCAACCTGGCCTGATGCCGCCCTGCTCTGCTCTCCCTGCCCAAAGTGGGAGAGCAGCCCCTCGCCACGGGGCGCTCCCGGGCAGGGGATCCCACCTTCCCCTCTGCCCTCTCAAGAAATCTTCTCCATCCCTGCCCACCCTGGCCTGCCCCGGCTCCTCCCGGCCTCCTGGGCGTCACCCCCGCCACCGCCGCCATTACCGGCCTCCTCGGCCGACAGGCGCGTCGCCGTCGCCATGGGGACGGGCAGCGGCCGCGGGGCACCCTGGGAGTTGTAGTCCAGCCAGGCCCGCGGCCTGCCCCGCCCGCCCCGCCGCCGCCTTCGCCCCCTTCCCTCGCCCCGCACCCCGCAGGGATGGCTTCCAATAGATTGCCAGCCCCGTATTCCTGTACCCCACCGGGGTCTCAACGGGAATTTGGCAATGCGGTGTGCGGGCACAGGGTCCCTCGGCGCCATCAGCTGTAGGTCACGGGACCTCATGGTGGCCATGGAGGTACCTGGCATCATGTCCTGTGGTGTGGTGTGGTGTCGTGTCACGCGGTGTGGCATGTTGCGCGCCGTGAGAGCGCACAGGCCAAACCCAACAGGCTCCAAACACAGGGTTTGGGTTTGTACAAGACAGTTTTAGGCTGAAAAAAGTTGGGGGGGGGGGCGTGGAATGCCATAAGAGTGAAAGCAGCTGGAGCAGTATTTTTCTTCAAGGCTGGAGATGATGGGAATCATAGAATCATTCAGGTTGGAAGACACCCTTGGGATCATCGAGTCCAACCATCTACCCTACTCTACATAGTCCTCACCTACACCATATCCCTCAGTACCGCATCTAAACGTCCCTTAAACACATCCAGGGATGGTGACTCAACCACCTCCCTGGGCAGCCTATTCCAATGCCCGACCACTCTTTCTGTGAAAAATTCCTTCCTAATGTTCAATCTAAACCTACCCTGTTGGAGCTTGAAGCCGTTCCCTCTTGTTCTGTCTTAATTACCTGTGAGAAGAGACCAGCACCAACCTCTCTACAGTGTCCTTTCAAGTAGTTGTAGAGAGTGATGAGGTCTCCCCTCAGCCTCCTCTTCCTCATACTAAACAGTCCCAGCTCCTTCAGCCACTCTTCATATGATTTGTCTTCCAGGCCCTTCACTAATTTCGTTGCCCTCCTCTGCACTTGTTCCAGCACCTCGATATTGTGTCCCAAAGTCCTCACCTGCCAAGCCTCAGGTGAGAAGAGGCTTTGGGGTGCCTCCTGGTTTTTGCCTGCGTGGTATTTTGCCTGGAAATAGACCAGAAGAGAGCTTTAATTGGCAATTTTGTCCTAGTCCTGACCATGGATGTTTGATGGTACAAATATTTACTACTTTGGGTATTAATTCTTACTATTGCTATACTTGCAAGGGTTATCAGTATGCTTTGAAGCCAATGGCCACTGCATCCTTTGTTTGTACTTCTTCAGAGCACTAGTGACCAAATAAATTAATTTGGAACTGGTATGTTCCAAATGGCCAGTCATTTCCCTTGAATTTACTAGACTAGACTTATGCACAAAGTCTCCTGAGAAACAAGCTCGTGTAATAACCTCTGGCAATAATTTATATTTTTGCATTAAGGTGGGGCTTTTTTTATTTGTTTGTTTGTTTTACAGGGAAATACTCTGAATACCTGATTCTAACAGGCTTTTCTTTTAGCTGCACCTCCAATTGCCTCTCAAAAGATGAAAGAAATGACAGATGGTGAGCCCCAGTAAACAGTACAAACTATCCGTACTGTTATTTTTAGTTTTCAGTGAGGTTTTCTCAGGATTCCTGTTCCGTACATGGAATACTGCACTTCCAGCTTAACATAATGGTTTGCACAGACAAAAAACCTACTTTCAAGAGCATCTTTACTGTTGTGTGTTCTGTCCTACCTAATAAATCCTGGAAAGAAAGTATTACATTCCATTTTAAGTATTTTCAGGACTGCACACTGCTATATTCAATCTTAACATTTGAAATGTGTGTAAGCACTTTCTAAAAACAAGGCCAGTTTCACTTTTCATGTAGGGTCAGCTTTACTGAGCTCAGTGGCATGTTGCTCACTTACAGCAGAAACAAACTTGGCCCTTAAAATTTGAAAGTATTCTGTTACCGTTTAACATTCTTAAAATACCTTTCATGCTCAGAGACCTCTTTAAGCAAATACGCACAGGCAGCCACTGAATTGTGACCATCTCTGGGGCAGAAAGCAGCAACCAGGTAGAAAAAGAGCATCCTGGATAACACAGGAGAATGGGGTGTTTTTTACCAAGTATTCTGGACCTCCTCTTGACACCTTGTGCCCTGGAAATTTTCACTGGCAATGCAAAAAGGAGAAAATACAACAATAAGTTCTGGATACATAGAATCAGCCACAGATCTCCCTCCTCAGTATTAGGAAGGGTAGTGACACACATTTATTTCAGAGAAGTCCCTGAGCCCTGCAGTGTGGATGATGGTCTGAATTCTTTAAAGCTGAGAGTGTTTGTAACTGAGGCTTGTTTCAATACGATCTCTGCTATAATTACTTCTGCCTCTATGCTCCCCTAGTGCCCCCCTTCCTCCTTCCCCTTTTACAGTGTAAAATTTGCAGCTACAACTCTGAAGCCTCCTTGTTGTGGTCAGGGAGAGGGCGCAAACCCCTTTATGCAGGAGGTAGCTGTGACAGTGCCCATGCGACATTAAAAATTACCCGACAGCTTTGTGATCGCCCCCAGCACTAAGTCGCCTGCTCCCTGTCCCTTCTCCCTTCTCCCTTCTCCCTTGTCCCTTCCCCCTCTCCCAAATATTTCTCCAGCCCTGTCTCATTGGTGCACTACTCTCCTTTGCCTTTTTTGGACTGCCACCCTGTCAATCTAATGCAATAAGGCCAGGGGCAGGTGCAAACCCCTTGCTATGGCTCCTCTTACTAACCAATCCTCTACTAGCCCCTTGTCCCAAAATACCTAAGAGCCAATGGCGTGGGAAAACCCGGGACTCCGGGGAGAGGGAGAGGCCAAAGCTGCTGGATTGCTGCGAGGGGGGTGCATCCATTAAGGACCCAGGGTTAGCCCCAGAGCTGCCGAACTCTTCGATTCCTCTTAGGACTGTGGCAACTTGTGGATAGCAGGCGTGCTCTGCTGATTTCGTTTTCATCACTGTCAACATGGTGATCAAAGTCTTTGTAGCCACATCTTCGGGGTCTACAGCGGTAGGTGTCTCATTTAACCTCTTCCTCTTTCTGCTGGCATCAGGTTGGTAAATCAGCCTAGAAGATCCCAGGAGAAACCTCAATTTACACGGAGAACAAAACACGGGGTTTCTTCTAGTCTGCATTGCACACCTTATTCTTGAAAGCTACTCAAGATGTAGAGAATTCCTATTAACGCAGGCTTGCTTGCATGCAAGATTTTACTGCAGATATAACATTTACATATAAATTATCTGTCATTTAATAGATTTACTTCTGTTTGAAAAAGTATATGCAATATATATTCACTGAAGAGGGAAAAAGTGGATATTGTATTTGCACAAAAGCTAAGGTAGATTGTTTACAGTAGAAATGAATGTATTTTAGAAGAAACTTTAGGACACTGCTCCTGAAAAAGGGGAACACTGTCTAAGAAAGAGCTTACAACCAAAGTAAGCTGAATTAAGTTATGGAGAAAAGAATTCTTCCTCACCTCCCTCCCTTTCCCTAGATTTTTTCATTGGGTTTTTTTGTTTTGTTGTTGTTTTCCTTGGGTTTTGGGAGGGTTTGTTGTTTTTAGTTGTTGTTGTTTTTGTTATTGTTGTTTGGGTTGGTTTTTTGTTTGCTTGGTTGGTTTCTTTGAGTGTGTGTGTGTCTCTTGAAATGCTATACTGATGATTTTTAGCATTGAGATCTCCGGCTGTAGCTGTCAGCATAGTGTTATCAGCTGAAAGGAAGAGCATGTGAATAGTAGGGAGCTTGGAAGTCCGTAGGAGGTGGGAACTGGGAAAGGACTGTTTCCTTTTATATCCAGTTCCCAGATCAGCTCAGATTGCAGCTTTCCTTTGGCAGTCACTCACTCCCAGTGACATGGCTAAACAAACTGGCTGGTGCTTGCACATAGCTGTAACTACATCTCTGTTTCTCTGACACCAGTTCCATGTCTTTAAGAAGCTTCCAGAGCTGAGAAGCTCCAAAAAACACCCCCTGTTCATGGGGCCATCACCTCTAGAAAACGAACAGGTCATTCACTAAAATTCAAATTGGAATATGGCTGAGGAAGTTTGCAGTTCTCTCAGCTTGTCATGGCAGCCTATTGCTAAGCCTGACACCCTAAATTTGCTATTGACATTTTAGCATTCCTTTTTTTATAAGAAACCTCATATGCAAGGGAAAAAAAAAAAAAAAGAAGAGGGAGTTGGAAACTGCGGGTTTGGTAATTTGTAATCGAGCAGTTACTGCTCAAGTAGCTTTATAAATTGGCATACACTGTGCGTTGGCAGTCTGTTTGGCCCTGTTTGGCCTCATTTGGTTGACCAAAGAAGAGTTGTCCCTACCTCCTTTGCCAGTCATCCATTTTCTGGGGAAAGCTGTGGCCGTGATGGAAATCCCAGTGCAGACATTCAGTGTGTGCGTGTTGGGGCCATCATCATCCTCTGTGCCTCAGACATGAACTGCTCCCACTCCCACGATGGGATTGGGGCTGTAGTTCAGCAAGTATGAGTGCCTTGGTTAAATACTGACATTCAGAGATCACTTACGCAATTAAAACAAGGCGTATCGTATATTTAGCACTAGCTGAACCGAGACCTTGCCTCTGCTGTACACATTCCTTGTCTCTCCTCCCAGCCAGCAGCAGAAACCTCTTTCCTCTTGGACTGCAGCGAAGGGATGTGTGTGCTACAGTGAACACTGGGCAACACGCGAGATTTATCCAGCCTTTTTGAGGTGTTGAGCATTGCTGCTGGGGTCTATTACTGCTAAGAAAGACAGCTAATGATAGTGAACTCTCGTAGGTTTTAAGCTTGTTAATGCCAATCTCCACTATGTTAGCAGCCCGCAGAAGCTGTTAGTGAGATCCCAGAAGGAAGGGTATGGCATCTTTACACTGCCTCTGTATTTCTTCCAATCTGGTGTGTTGGGTGTAGGTATAGCTGTAGCAATCTCAGAAGGCAGCATCCGTTTAGATTAGCGATACAGAATTACAATGCCAAGTAAACACAATGTTCAGCTGGAGTATTTTTCCACATCTACTGATTAAGATGGACGGAAGGTATCCTTTCAATGAACCTTTAATGAGTTTTGGTATATATAAAATAGAACTCACTCATGCAAGGAGCCAGCAGAAACCCCAATATATCACTCAAATCCTATTAAAACCAAATTTTGTATCAGCCTTGTACAGATTTTCCAGAGAAAAATGAATTTAATCCCTGGAGAGCTTAAATTGGAAGCCTAAATTGTCCCAGTAGCACTGGTGCTCTCTTCAGTGTGGCTGATCTCCATCAAATGTGATTTTGTTCATTTTGAATTTCAAAATAAGAGGGGCCCAGCCTCCGCCGGCATAAATCAACAAAGGATCATTGGCAAAGAATGAAAAACATTTCTATTCTATGTACTGCACTGTCATACTACAAACTGGATTTCGTGTTAATAAATACTTTTTAAAAGCGAATGCTGTGAACCCAGTAACATTCTGGTGCTCTGGATCGGGTGCTTGAATGATATAATTCACTTTAGAGCAAATCTGCAGTCTGCATTTTTCCCCTCAATGATTCAGAAATTTATTTTAAATAACTTTGGCTTTATTATCTTTCTGCTCCAAACTTAGCCGATATTGAACTATTCATTAAGGAAAGCAGAAGTGGAGATGCTTATTTATGGCTCTTAAAAGTACTAAATGCTTGGCTTGAAGCAAGCAGTAAAAAAATAAAATAATTTTTTTACCAGCCACAGAAGTATTTAGAAGTGGGTAATATCCTGCAAGGTTGTAAGGTACCACGATTCACAGGAAAAAGGGGGTTAGTGTCTTACACAGAGAAAGTCTTCCAAAGTCTTACTCCTGCTTATGGTTGGGGCACCTGTAAAATCCTTTTATTCCCAGAATTTTTGGTGACATTTTATGAACTTGCCCGCCTTCAAATAGTAGGTCTCAAAAAGACTGAGGAAAACGTAGACTATTTGAGTTATGTCCTCTAAAATACAGGGCAGCGAGTTTGTCATCTGTGGCTGTGAATGTAGCCATGTATAAATCTAAGCTCAAATTTCAAACTAATTTCCAGTCAAATCAGAGGTTAGAGTGTGATAAATAAGAATAATTATCAGGAATAAGTTGCTTATGTGGTGTTAGAACCAGAAGCTGCTGCAACTCTGCCTACCAACATGAATTTTCCTCTTGCTGTAAGTTGTTGACTGTGTACTGTTTGCTGCTGCCACAGGCAGCTGGATTGTGAGGATATAGATGGTAATCTTTAATTTTGCATCAGGCGAAACTAATATCTGTAGTTCTTACAATCTAGCTGGATAATATTTATTTAAAACGCTTTTTTCTAATTTTAAGGGACTAGCAGTTAGAGATGGTGGAATTTAAGCTTTGTTGAAAAGGAAAATGACATTGATGAAATAATATCCTGCTCACCACCACTTTCCAGGGAATCTATGCCCAAGTAATCTGAATTCTTCCCATGCCATCGGATAGAAGTGAGGGCACAAACAAGCTCCTGCAATCTCACCCATACTGGGAAACCTTTGCATGTCCTCTGTGTTGCTACGTCCTGGAAGATTTGCCTCTCTGGGTGCCGTTTGCTGGAGAGATTCTTTTGGTTGCCCAGCTGCCTAGTGTCAGCCACAGCAGAAGCTGCTTTATGGTTTCATACTTGGCATGTGTCTTTTGCTCTGCCTAAACCCCAGTAAATGTAAGCCTTAAGACATAAGTACATGTTGGCGTAGTTTACTGTTGTTACCATAATGAGAAACACCCTGCCTTTTCCTTATGCAGGCATAATTTCATGTAACTTTTTGTTTTTCTTCAGCAGTCATTTTTCACACAACCCTCTCCTAATTTTTGCTTTCAGTCCTTTCAGTCCTGGTGCTGTTTGAGCCTCCCGTGTGTTATGAACCTCAAGCTGAAGATAAATTGTTTATCCAGATTTAATTCTAAAAGTTGTAGCTACAGCCATAAGCAAGGGAGCACAGAATCTATAGCTCAGTTTCCATTATATCTCCTCAGAAGCACTGTCTGTCTGGGGCACTAGCTATTCCAGGACTCATATCTACATCAGTGCCTGTGTCCAAAGAGACAAGCTGACGCTGAGATTGCAGCTGACAGCACTTGAGCACACTGGCTTTCAGAGCATGGGGTCAAAGTCTGAGTACTGGCTCATGCAGATTTTATTAACCATTTGTATAAACATTATCCTGCCACTTCCTCCAATGAAGTGTTCCTCAAGCAATCCTTTCTGCTGCCTGAATGTGTTCTGCAAATAACTGTGCAGCTAAATAGCCATTAAGAAATTGACCTCTGTTTAAAAAGTAAAAATAAGAATATAAATAAGCACCTTTGAGATCTGTCAACTGCATGGCTGTTGAACACTTAGTGTTTCCGTTCAAAGTGATGTACTTTTTTAAGCTCACCAGAAACCTCTGTTGTTGCCATAAAAATGTAGAGCATTTTATGTTAGTTATTTTTTGAAAGCATAGCTGTATAGATAGATACTTCCTTATTTAAGCAAGAAAAAGAAATTTTATCCTTAATCATGAAAATTCCTTCTTCTAGTATAATAGGCTATCATTCTACTTCAGCTTTTCAGGTTTATTAGATTACAGAAATACATAATCCATGAATTATTTCTCATCTCATTGTCTGTCTCAGACCGATTTACAGTAACTTGGTCTGACTTTGAATTCAGTTGTTAAGATGTCCGATGCCTTTAAAAATTACCTTGATACATCATTCTAGCTACCATCTATATAGGACAATAACTTGCTGCATGGAACAGTGTCACTGGGAGAAGACAGTCATGTCTGGAAGATGATTGTGCTAGATAGTAATTTAGCTGTCTGTGAGCAAAGAGCAGCTTGAGAGAATGTGTACAGATCAGTCCAAATAGTGCTTGCTTTGAATGCTGCAGTACTTGGAGGGCTGAAGTTTGGTCTTGCAGCTCTTAGACAAGTTATATATATATACAAAATTGGGAAGTTCTTTAAATGTTCCTTAGGAGTAGCATTCCTTTAGCAGAGAAGTACAGTGAGTACAGGAGTACATCTTCAAAGTAAAGGGGTAGGTTACAAGCTTGATGCCTGCATCTTAGGTCTACACAGAACTAGCATCAAAGGGAATTAGGGACATAATTGAATTTTAGGTGGCACAGAAGCTGTGTATAACATGCTTTATTTATATGTAATACGTTCCTCATGGTCCAACTGGAACATGATTCTGTAATGCGGGAAATATTCAAGCACAGGAGTTAAGCTGTACTGGATTTTCATTGAGCTTTCACTCATGTTTAATTATGCCTAGCATTAAAGAACAGAGACAGAGAGAAACATGTGGCTCATGGAAAGCTAAATGTCGTGTGTAATGAGTAGGAAAAAGGAGACTGTTACATACTGAGGAGAATATGTACATTCTTGGACCTGTACTGACTTTAGGCAGGATTAGTTTAGGTATCTGTACACTGTACTCGCAGATCTGGGAAGAGAATAGGAGGCTTCCTGCCAAGTCTTGTTTCTTAGATGGAGGTATCACTGCTTCCAGGGAGGAAAGGAAAAAGCCGGGGGGGGG